ACAGCAGCACAATGCAGCGACGTTTCAGCCAGTGTCCCAAAATGGCTAGGCAGACATTTCTACCAGCCCGAAGATCCTGTGTAGTTACAAAACTTGGAATCATTTCTGACCTGGCATAGCCTTTAATATGTTGCATTCCCCATGACTTTGGTTTAATTCTTCATAATATTCATTACCTCTGGGCCTGTGACAATGTTTTTGATAAAGCATGGTACATTACACTTCAATTTCTAAGCAATTTCTAAGCATCTTTGTATTATAAAGACACTCTGCTCTTAAATGAGAATGATCTGAGGACAAGTAAAGAAAAGGATAGGACATCCTATTGTAACTAAAGTTCCTGTATGTGCTTCAGCTAGATGTAGCTTTCACAAATATTTATTAGAGATTTAATTTGATTTGTTGCTATACTACTTGTCTGCTCAGCTATTTGTATCTCCCCAGCTCCCCATATAGTCATCGGTGACTAAAGGGAAAGGGGTTGTTTTGGTGGGAAAGGAAAGGAAGATGACCCTAGAGGTCACCTTAACAGAACCAGCTGAGCATCCAACACAGCAAAAGGCACAATTGCTACACTGACCTGTGGGTCTCTCTCTGTACAGTCAGTCTTCATGCACAGAGCTGCGATGAAAATTAGTTCTCCAAGGTCTTATATTGGAAGCAGGGCTTGAGGGTGCTTTAGTTTTTTTTAGTAACAAAGAAATGGAAGAGACATGATAGCACATCAAAGATATCCAGCCCTACTGCTTCTTTCCCACCTTTTAAGAGAAGAGCATTCTGTGGAGCTGGCTGTGTATGTTGTGCCCACGGGCTCCTGATAGCGGTACCATTTTAGACAAGATCCTTTCTGGTCTCACTGGGACAGCAGGATAGTTTGCTATCCCCTAAGGAGCTGAGAGTATATTACACACGCGCTCATGATAATACAAATTCCATGTCCTCAGCGCAGATACCCAGAGGCTTAACATCATCCCTTCCTATTGGCTACCTAAAACAATGTTGGCGATTAAATCTCCCTTCTCTAATCGCACTGTAATACTACCCCTTCTAGGAACAAGCCATACCAGTATAAATACTACAACATAAGCATTTTTATGTTGCTATAACTGCACTCACCCCAGAGGAATTCCACCTTTTTGACATCAGAGGTAAAATGTGAGAGTTTTTTTTTGTGTGACTGAGCACTGAAAATGTTCAAAACTATTTCAAAAAGACTGCCTCTAGTAGCAATACAAATCTGCTATGGGAAGTAAAAATCAAAGTGTTACATGCAGGCTTTCTCCTGTTGTTCAGTGAGCAGACCTGAACAATATGGTTGCTAAACCAAAACATCCTGTTTGTATGGACATTGCCATCTTGGTGGTGCTGCGTCAGAGATGAGGGAGTGACTTCAGAATGCCTCAGAAAAAAATCAGTACAGCTTTTTTTTGCCCACTTATCATGAAAGATGAGATGAAGATTTTTACATGATTTCTGAGAATGAGAAATGTACCAGAGAACCAACTGCTGAATGGCACTACTATACATCAGAACTGCTACATGCTCCTTTTGAAACAGTGGGCATATATACTGGTAATGTAAAACGCTTTGCAGTTATCATAATAAGGCAAGGATCTGAATAGTAAGAATTCTTTATATTCTTTCTTCCACAGAGAAGCCTCACCCAAACAGCTCGCCAAGAGCCAGCTCTGTACAGTGCAAAGCATATTCTCTACCACCAGACACACAACGCATGCAGAACAGTCTGACTATCCCTTTTATCTCAATCATCTGTGTGTGAGTAATCTTACAGGGCAAATACTTCATTCAGATTCTCTTTGCTTCCATTTTATGACATGGATTTTCATGGCCGTTTACTTTTCTCCTCCTGCTGAAAAGCGAGAAGATTGGAGTCTCAGAGTCTGCAGCTTTGTGTTTAGTCACTGCCCACGGAGTCACTGCAGATGGTATCTGCTCAGCGCTACCACATGCTGGATGACATATATTAAGAGCACAAAAAACCCTCATGAAAATGCTTTCAAAATGCTTACAAAGTAAGCCCTGTGATCCCAGTAGGAATGAGGTGACAGCTCAGTAGAAGGTCCTACTCAAATATTTTATGTAATTTCAGCTTCAAGTTACAAAGAGTGTATTTTAGTGTCACGTAGGATGAGAGGATATATCTGTGCTTCCAGTTCCCTCCAAAAAGATAATTTCATAGGGCAGCCTGGATCTTGTAAGTATTATTTTTATAAACTTGTTTTAATTGGACTACTGCATGGCAGGGAAGGCTTATTTTCTCAGTGGGGCTCTGTGTGCCAGAGAACCAGGATTAAAGACCGCAACCAGTCACCAAATAAGAAAATCACTGAGAAAAGAGAAACAGCTGGAGATAGGCCAAAATCTCTGCCAAGAGATGCTTCAGTGAGTGAATGCATTCACTCTGATGAGCAGCCCAGAGGATAGCTCTTGAGAAACAGTTCCTGAATTAGCTTTTAGTCTTGTTATCTGGCAGTGAACTTTATAGCTTTCACAAAGAGGAGCAGGCTTCACAATCCTGCCCAGTGTCCTTCCAGTGATGACATACTGGATGTCATTGGGCTGTATGAGAAAGACTGTCAGGGCTCTAGTTGAGGAAACCTGTTAGTGAAGGCTTGAAATGTTCTTTTTCCTTACTGGGTATTGCTTTTGGCACAAGAACAAAACCGACAGTGCAAGAGCAAGGCTGCCAGCAAAATGATCATGAGAAAAAGGATTAAACCTAGTTTAACTTTCTAACAGTGACCGATTTACATTAGCAGTTTGCCAGGGACAAAGTGAATGTGCCGGGCAGTGTGCATTGCGGTGAACAGAGAAGGGAAAATTGTGGAATAAGCCTCATCATGCAAAGAATTTTACCTTTTCCACTTACCAGCAAAGATGGATCGTAGCTTTGCAGGATCAGGCCTTATATGATCTGCTCTTCAAATTTAAGATTTCAATTCTTTGAATCATAAGTGGTAAAAGGGTAATACATCAAATAAGCCCTGCATCTCTTTGAGGTGCCATTTCCTTACTTCTTCTGAATTCATTTGTGACTCTTTAATGAGTTGTATTGCACACATTTTTTATGTCCTCTTAAATAAAATGTGTGTGGCTCTTGGCAATGCAGTCTATATACTGATAACATCTCAGTGACTTTGTGCTAAATTCTAATTAAGACACTTAATTGAGCCTCCAGTTGCTACTATGTCTATATGAGAGGCAGCTGGGGACCACCTAATCATGCAAAGATCTGTGCTACTTTCCCTATGTTTATTTAAAGAGCTTTACGTGACACACTACTTTCTTTATGACAAATTCCCTTGAAATATTGGACAATGAATGGAAACAGCATGGAGACCTTTTGGCTATTCCTAGACAACCATCTGAGTATTCTTTAAGCGATATTAAAGCTCCCTCTTTGTGCCTTAAGTCAAAATCCTTTCTTATGTGGCACAGAAAAAATAGCAACACGCTTCTTTCTTGAAAGCCTCTACTATTAGAAAGGCTCAACTGTCAGAAGAAATGTGTTACACAGATCTCACTACCCTTATTTGCTACCACATCCTTCACTTTGGGACTTCATTACACATCAAGAACTCCAATGGCAGTCATCTATCTGTCAGCATCAGAAGGAGACATCTGTGCCAAGATCTGAGCCCCGGAGTGAGACTTTGAACCCAGCGGGCTGATAAACACCCAGGACAGCACTGCCGGACTCAGCGCCACTGCTCAGAGCAGCTCGGGTCAGGCTCCGCACAAGCACTCAGCTTCTGAGAAACGTTTACACTTGAGTAAATTAAACAGTAACACAAACAACACCTCACAAGCCCGGAGCTTTCAAAGGTCTTTTTGCCCCCAAAGCCTACTTAGCCATGCTTACATACAATTTAAGCATACAATAGCCAAACTTCTACTGTATTTCAAAGCTGCTGCATCTTGGTTTTGTGCAGGGCCCAGCTCCGCCGATACGGTTTCAGCTGATAAGATTATTCTGGTAAGCGGGGCTTAACCTTGGAAAACAAAGAGCGGCTTGAAACGCAGCGCTCACCCCTCCCTTCCCTCACAGCACACGGACGCGCAGCCCGCTTTCCCTTCCCTCCCATTTGGAACCCCACCCGCGGCAGTAACCCCGCCGAGGGCATTCCCCACGCGGCAGCGGGCGGAGCGGCATTGCGGAGCGCCGAGCTGCCCTGCCACCTGCCGGCACGGCACGGCACGGAGCCCCGGGAACCGCCGCGCAGCTCTAACAGAGCTCCATGAGCCCAGGCCGCTGCAGGCTGCCGGCGGAGACCCTGGCGATGCCGAAGGGAGGTCAGGAGTGTCGGGTCCAAATTCTCCTTCCAGCCCTGGCCTGTTATTTACGCTGCGTGGCGCACGCAAGCGACTTGCACGTGCCCCGGGAGCATTAGCTGCTTATTTACGTTCAGCAGACGCCGATATTCAGGTCTACGTGAGAGTAACGCCACCTCTATGAACCAGCAGCACGCGTGGGTAATTGCTCCTTAAACACCCGAGGCTAACGGAGTCACCGGAGATACATCTCCCATGCAAAATCCATTGCCACAATTCTGAGTCCGCCAGAGATTCCTCTCACGGAAGCACCGTACGGCGAGTCTCTGCTCCTGAAGTCTGCTCGTGATCAGAAACGCACCCACGTATAAACGCGGCGCCATTTTCCACGCGCTCCCGAGCAGCGCCCGGCGGGCACGGCGCCTCTCCTTTCCCGCTTCGGCAGCCACTGAGAGCAGAGGGCCGGCACCGCCATTCTGTTCCGAGCTCCGAGCACAGCGGAGGAACGGAGAGAGCGCAGACTGACAAGCGTGCCGGTTATGCAGGGAGCGAACGTGGCAAAAGGGTACACGGCGTGACAGGGCAGCCCTTTGTTAGGGGGAACCGAGGCCAACCTGCGCTGCCCGCGCTCCCGCGAGGCCCGGCACTCATCCCCCAACCTCCGCCGGAAGCAGCCGCGCCGGGAGGGGCGGGGCTGCGTGGCGGCCATGGCGGCGTGCGGCGCGGAGGAGCGGCAGCGGGTGGGACGGCTCTCGGCGCTTTCGGTGTACCGCCGGGCGGCGGGGCCTGGGCGACTGGAGCGGCGCCGCCGCGGGACGCCGCTGCCTGCGGGCGGTAAGCGGAATAAAGCGCGGCTGAGGCGTGGCGCGGCGGGAGGAGGCGGCCCGGAGCGGGCTGCCCCGCCGCAGAGCGCCGCCGTCCCCAACCGCGTGGAGCGGGCCGGGAGCCCCGAAGCCAAGCAGGGAGACCTTAAGACGAAACCGAGCGGCTCTCCGGCCAGCGCTGCGACCAACGCTCCGGCCGGAAACCTCGAAACCAAGTCGCTCGGAGGCCCTTTGACAATCTCGGGCGGTTCGCGGGCCAAGACTCTGGTCGGGAACCCCGAAGCAAAGCCGCCCGGAGACCCCGCAAAGAGCCCGGGCGGCGGAGGCGTGTTGGGGCTGCTGCGGCGGCTGGGGCGGCTGGAGGACAGCCGGCGGAGGGCGGCAGAGCTGTTCCGGTGGCTGGTGGCACCGGTGGCACCGGAGGAGTTCGTGAGGCGGCACTGGGAGCAGGCGCCGCTGCTCGTGCAGCGGGGTGACCCCGGCTACTACGCGGGGCTGTTCTCCACGGCTGACTTCGATGCCATTCTGCGCAGTGGTGATGTGCGCTTCGGGACCCACCTGGACGTGACCAGCTATGCTGAGGGGGTGCGGGAGACGCACAACCCCGTGGGCCGGGCGCTGCCTGCCATTGTCTGGGACTTTTACCAGAACGGGTGCTCTCTGCGGCTCCTCAGCCCCCAGGCTTTCTCCACCACTGTCTGGCACTTCCTCGCTGTCCTGCAGGAGCACTTTGGGAGCATGGCTGGGGCCAACACCTACCTCACGCCACCAGGCACACAGGGCTTCGCCCCTCACTACGACGACATTGAGGCCTTCGTTCTGCAGCTGGAGGGCAAGAAGCACTGGCGCGTTTACGGCCCCCAGACGAGCTCAGAGGCACTGCCCCAGTTCTCCAGTGCAAACCTCACGCAGGCGGAGCTTGGTGAGCCCCTGCTGGAAGTGGTGCTGGAGGCTGGAGACCTCCTATACTTTCCCCGGGGCTTTATCCACCAGGCCGACTGTCTGCCAGATGCACACTCGCTCCACATTACAGTGTCCTCCTATCAGAGGAACTCCTGGGGAGACTTCTTGGAGAAGCTTCTTCCTGCTGCCCTGCAGATGGCCCTGGAGGAGGACCTTGAGTACCGGCAAGGGCTTCCCATGGACTGCCTGGGGTACATGGGGGTTGCCAACTCAGATGCCATCGATGCTCGCCGAACAGCGTTTGTGGAGAAGGTGCAGCACCTGATAAAGAAACTTGTTGACTATGCACCCATTGATGCTGCCATGGATCAGAGGGCTAAGTCGTTTCTTCACGACTGTCTCCCACCAGTGCTTACACAAAGTGAGAAACAGCTGAGCGTGTATGGCTTTCCAGCCTGGTGGCATGATGGAAGGCCCCGTAATGTTGATATACTAATAACAAAAGACACAGAAGTACGTCTTCTCCATCATGGCATTGTTAGATTGTGCAATGAAGAAGCAGGTGTGATGCTATATTACACAACAGAAAACTCAAGAGTGTATCATAAGGAAGACCCCAAGTACCTTGAGATAGATCCTGAGTACACAGACAGTATTGAATTTCTCCTGTCCTCCTATCCAAACCACGTCAGTGTGGATACCCTCCCATGTGATGCCTTGGAGGACAAGATTTCTCTAGCTACGCTCCTGTTTGAGAAGGGCATTCTGACTACTAAGAAGCCACTGGTGCAAGTGTAACTCTTTTTTATTTTTTAACAAAATAAAAATGCATTTGTTTAGAAAATACTGTCTCTTGTTTTCACATTACAGCTGCTGGGTGTTAATGCACAGTCTGATCTCAGCATCTGACCTGGGAACAGAAGGGCTTTGACCTGAGTAGAGAAACGATGTGTTGTGATTAAAATAAGCATCTGCTTTAAGAGCAGATCTGTGCATTGCTTTGCCAGCCATATTACTACACGTTAAGTAACTTCAGAAAGCAATGAACTTTTTTTACAGTCTGTAAACTGTTAGTGTTTTTCAAGTATTGTAAAGCAGCCTGTGTGACAGTGGGAAGTACTCTTACTGCTTACATTCATATCTAGTGATGGTCACTGTATTTGCAGGGAGGTGCTGTTTGGTTGTGATCCCAGTAAGAAAGACTAAGACTTGGCGAGGTAACAATTTAAAAATGCTATTTGAGCTAACGTTAAGAGCACTGATAGTTTCAGGTCCATTTAGATACTGAGCATCAGACAGGACTCTGACCCATGTACACAGTGCTATGCAGATAGCACGTAGCAGAAATCCTTCTCTGTTGGTCACTGAACTTACTACTGGATTTTCTTAAGGGAAACAGCTCATGTTTATAATCGGGGAGAAATGATGTGTGCAAGAAAACTTGCTGCACTGTTAATATCTAACAAGTTATTTGCTGTTGATAATAAACTGGGAGGAGCTGTTGACTCTCCTAAGGGTGGAGAGGCCTTGCAAAGGGATCTTGACAAATTAGAGGGCTGGGCAGTCACCAGGCACATTAAATTTAATGAGCGAGTGCTGAATTCTGCACCTCAGATGGGGCAACCCTGGCTGTACACACAGACTGGGGAGCAAGAAGCTGGAGAACAGCCATGTGGAAAGGGATCTAGGTGTTCTGACTGATCTCAGTTGAACATGAGTCAGCAGCATGCCCTGGTAGCCAAAAGGGTGAACTGTACCTTTGGGTACACCAAGCCCAGCACTGCAAGCTACGTAAGGGGAAGGATTGTCTTGCTCTGCTCTGTTCTGGTGTGGCCTCACCTTGACCTCTGTGTGGTTTGGGCACCACAATATAGGCCGTTAGAGTATGTCCAAAGGAAGGGTACACAGATAGTCAAGAGTCTAGAGGGGAAGATGTGAGGAGCGGCTGAGGTCCCATGGTTTGTTCAGCCCAGAGCAGAGAGGGCTGAGGGGAGGCTTTGTGGTGGCCTATAGGTCCACACAAGGGGAACGGATGGGCAGCACTGGTCTCTGCTCTCTAGTGACAGTGACAGAACCTGAGGGAATGACATGGACCTGTGTCGGGGGGACTCAGGTTGGGTGTTAGGAAACAGTTCTTCACCAGGAGGTGGTGCCCTGGTGGGCCTTGGCACAGGTTCCCCAGAGCAGTGGTCAGCACTAGGCCTGCTAGGTCAGTACTAGGCCTTCAAAAAACGCTTGGACAGTGCTCTCAGATATGTGGTTTGAACTTTGCACGGTCTTGTGTGGAGCCAGGAGATGGAATCCATGCTCCTTGTGGGTCCCTTTCAACTCAAAGTGTCCTACAATTCTACTGTACAGGAAAGGCCATGCAGGCAGCATGCTCACCAGTACCAAATGGGAGTTGCTCACAGACTTCTCTAGTTAAGAACAGCTGACCAAGTGAGTCCTGCAGTCAGAAGGCCTGGAGGCCATGCTGTATGTGCAATGTGGCACAGGCCTAGTCGTGCTCAGGTTAGTTGTGAATCACTGTGGATCACTCATTTCTTGATGTACAATGGTCTTCTGGTCATGATAACTGTGCTGACTTCCACTGAGAAAAGTAATGAGATGCCTAAATCACAGAATCACAGAATTGTAGGGGCTGGAAGGGACCTCTAGAGATCATCTAGTCCAAGCCCTCTGCAAGGCAGGCTCCCTAAACCAGGTTGCACAGGTAGGTGTCCACACAGGTCTTGAATATCTCCAGAGGAGACTCCATAGTTCCCTTGGGCAGCCTGTTCCAGTGCTCCATCACCCTTACCATGCAGAAGTTCTTAGGTACATTTGTGCAGAACTTCCTATGCTTTGGTTTGTGGCGGTTTCCCCTTGTCCTATCGCCACACACTGCTGAAAAGAGATTGGCCTCATCCCTTTGCCTCCCACACCTTAGATATTTATAGACATGTTATTGAGGACTTCAGGCCTAGTGACAAACTGAATTGTCTTGCAACAGTGAAGTGGCCATGCTATTTAACACTTCCCTGAGCTGTTCTATTAATTTCTTTTGCAAGACACATGCCCCCAAGTGCAGGCTATCTGATGTACTCTTACATTTGAGTCCTTCCACATGAGCTAGGAAATGGCTGCATATGACCTGACTTATAGCTGTTTCTCATATTTCTCTAGTAAATCCCTGCTCACAGATATGCCACTACAATACCAGTAACATCCAAAGGAGGAGGATTGCAGCTGTGCCTTCCTCTGAGTCTGTTGCTCCAAGGATGAAAACTAGTAAGCCTGAAGGCAGATTGCTATCAAAAACCTTGTGCCTTGTATTTGGACTTGCCATTTGGAAACAGTGCTTGTGGCAGTCGACCTAACAGGATTTGCAGGTACAGCCTGTTTGGCAGCGAGACACCAGGCCTCAGCAGAGCTGCCAGCCTTTGGAGATGCTCCCACAGTGCCAAAGGACCAGCTGTCATGAGATTGCCCTGCTGCAGTCACTGGCAGAGCCGCAGCTATGGCTCCAAGCAGCCTCAATGTCTATCAGCACGCGGGTGTCCCTCACTTGCAGTAACTCTGCCTGCATGTAGGATGGTATGGACAAGGACCATCTCAGTGGGGACCACAGATATTCCCACCATGGAGCACTAGGATTCACCAAGCAGCCAGAACTTCCCTGTCTCATCAGGCAGTAGGGTAGACTGTCACCCCTGCTGCTTGATGCAAGCCCTCTGAAAACACTGCTCTGAGGGATCTGGGGAAGTGTTTAATCAGGCCAAATTATGGCTAATAGCAGGGAAATCTCAGCATGCCATAAGGCAAGGCAAGGCTTGCTTGGACTGTATGCCTGGGATATAGCCAACAGATGCCTGCTATATGTGCCTGTTGCTCCAGAAGCACTAGTGTCTGAGGTGCTGGAGTGCAGCAATACAGGGCAGGGATGTGTACTGAGGTACATGAAGCAAACACAGCAGAAGACCTGGCAGGTGCCAACACCCCTATACATTCTGTGCAACTCCTCAGCATATCTCAGTATCCTCACCAGTTACCTTCAAGTGCAGTCCAGCTAAAAAGCTGTGCTGGCATTTGGCTCGGGTTGTATTCAATCCAGCATTAGTTGACCGAGTCTTAAAGGCAGCCTTTGAAGTACTGAGGAAACCGCTCTTCTCAACAAGCTCTAAAGGTACAAGTCCATTTGCTCTCCTCCTCACTGCACAGGAAAGTTATTTCTCTAAAAGGAATTATTTTATTAAACAAATAAACACAAACCTTGTAACCTCAAAGAAAGAAAATCCCCTGTGCTGAATCTCCTTTCTCACCACTGTACCAAGTGGCAAGGGGTCAATTTTGAAACAGATGACCTTCTGAGGTTGGGGACGAGGCCACTGGAAGTTCACTCAGGACCAGGAAGATGCCTGCAAGAGATTTAGCTTTGTTCTACCCTGAGCATGCCTAGGTCTGAAGGACCTAAGCTAACAGATGCCCTTTCATTTATGGAATTAGTGTTGTTCACTCCTGTACCAATTTAAACCCAATAACTTCACATACAGCTGCCACTAGAATTGCATTTACATTTCCTGTGCTTTCCCTGATCTTTCTCAATCAGACATTGAGAAAAGGAATAGTATTTGAATTGATCTTAACTGCATAGACCATATGCAATATGCTGTTATCTCCCTGGTGGTTTGTGAACTTCAGATAAATGTCTGTACTTTCCAATGAACTATGGTCTCCTCGTCTATGTACCATCTTCAGATCTTTGGTACAGAGATTTCACCACGTATAGAGTGAATGCCCCATCTCAAATGGGAACATCTCCAACTGCTAAATTGCAGAAGGATACAATGTGGGATGTTAGAAGAAATGTGCCGGTGTCCTTAGTTAAGAGCTTTCAGGCTGCTGGGAATAAGATCTTCCCTCTGGAAAAGCTGTGTCCTCTGTACCATGGGTTCACCTGCCCTCTGGAAGGACATGCTCTGCCTGGTAATTTCTATTTCTGGCGCCACTGTGCTCTGACCATCCAAGAAACTCTGCTGCTTACTATAATCTCCTCCCAAAATATTTCTATCTTCAGCTTGGTGTTTGGATTGAAAAATCTTTCTTATGCAAGAGATCAGAACTGGCAAAAGAGAATTAGAAATGAAACTCCCTTCCCTACCCAGCGTATTTTGTAATTGATTCTCTTGACAGACCCAGCCAACGCCCTCACGCTAACAATGCTCTCTCTCATAAAAGTTGCCATCATCTGGTGAGAGGTGCAAGACTGTTCCACGCCTACAGTTGGCTGAAGACAACCATGCTATGTTAGGATTGTTTCTTAGGGGTGGGCTTGCCCTGGGCAGCAGTTCATGAGGGAGCAGGCAGAAGCAAGCTGCCATAATGCTCCCAGTGTGTGGTGTCCATTGTCTGCAGGTCTGCAGGCAGCAAAACAGAAACCTGTCTTGTAGGGAGCCAACTGCTTGTTTGGGAGATGGCAGGGAGAGCCTGTGGGAGAAACTGTGTCCAGTCCTGCAAGGAGCAATTATCAGCAGCCCTGGTTTGAGGATCACCGCCACAGCATATTTGCACACTGTAAATCAACTGCCAGTGCTGGGCAGAGCTGAAAGCCTTTGGAAATGCTCCTATGATGTCAGAGCACTGAGCATGCCTTACCACAGACAGCAACAGGGCTGCAGTCACAGCTCCAGGCAGCCTTGAAAACCTCACAGCCAGAATGGGCCCACGCAGTCCCTGCCCAGGATTCTCCTCCCTGTGTGTGGGAAGCAGCGCTTGTACAAAAAGCTCCAGCCCACATGCAAACAGTGTGAAGCGACCTGGGGCCACAGGGCAGATGACTGCCCTCACGGCGTGCCGACAGGTCTCCCACTGCTGGCAGAGCTGGCTCTCCTGGCCCAGGTTCTCTTCGCAGCTCCTGCAGATCCCTGGGGTGCCCACATCTCGCAGCCTCGCTTCCACAGCAACCGCCATCCGCTTCTCACCAGCCACCCGCAGCCTCTTCGATGAGCCGCTGGGCATCACCGTGCAGGGCCTCAGCCCGCGGCAGCAGGTCACCCTGCGGGCGTCCCTGCGGGACGAGGCGGGCGAGCTGTTCGAGGCCCACGCCCGGTACCAGGCGGCGGAGGACG